CAAACTGGATGAAGCTTTGATAAGCCGTAAATTCCAACATCCATAGCAATGCATGAAACAGGGAAAAATTGTGACATTCGTATACTTTCTATGAACCGCGAATTGATTCATTTGGACCAAACCCTCTGGGACTAGAAAATCAACCGCTTGTAAGTATCTCTCTCTTTGACTTATGGCAATGACACGTTTCGATTGTGAATGCTTCATTGTGCGGATAAACGGCGACACTCGATACTTTGTGACTCCCTATTATTGAGACATTAGAGTTGTCACACGTACATGAAGATGAGAAGGACCGAAAAGATTCAAGCTGTCTGATCTCACATGGGTCAGCTAGCTCCAGTGAGGCACACAATATACATTAGGTAAACGCTGTAGTTCCAGAAAATTCAGTGTTGGATACCGAACTCGGAGGGGAGCAATAATGCTTCCCGTCGTACTTTATCATAATGGCTCAGAAAAACAACCACAACATATCATCCTAAAACCTGGTGTGTATTATGCTTGAGAAAATCCAGCACTTCATTGAACACGATAATGAGCTGTGATGTACATGTTTGTGTGTGAAGGTAGACAGGGACGAGCAACAGGTAGCTGGTGAAGCTCCTTAGTAGTGTAAAAGAAATAATGGATATTGCTCGGTCTCTGAAATAAAATCCGATTCCACTGCTGTTGGTAGACAGTCAAAACCTGAATGAGATTACCATAATAATGTGTGGACCGTTTGACTTAAAATTCCAGTGGTGCTATTCACTGAATGCATTTTCCTTGATTTGAGTATGGGGTTCAGATCAGGGAAGATCATTTACCCCCATTGGTTGAACCCGGTGTTAAACAAATGTAATTGAGATGTGTTCTTCTATGTTTTGCAAAATATATCAACCGATATTTTGGGATTCAGAATAAAACCTGTTAGGAGTAAGAACATCTGAATTCGTAACAAACCGGTAACTATGTTCACTTGCACAGAGACACGTTGAATGTTCCAAATATCACTGCCTCCATGGAACGCTAGTGATTCAACAAATCATTATTTAAACATTCTTGATGCAAAAATACATTCACTATTTCCCCAGCGGTAATTCAATCTACCCTGCCTCGTTTGATACTGTAAATACTACAGCCGATAAAAGCGAACTGCACTAACACAAACTCCTCGAAATCTTGGCTGTTATTGCGCAACCGCTTTCAACCCCGATCCATGGCGCGTTTTCTTCCCATTTAGGTGTAAAAGGTGGCTGGAAAATCCGGAAGAATTTACTTTATAATGCCGTTTTATTGTAGGGGTAAGAAATCAACTTCAGCGAGGGATCGTTTTGTGACAACTGCTACATTCTTTATCGTACCAGGTCCCTTTTCGGCCTTACGTACGATCCCTGTGATTCAACTAGCTCTCGTTTTACGTGGTTGCGATAGCCAACCCACGGTGACTCGTCCAACTTGTGCAATTCATAATGGAGTAGACGATCCAGCACAACCGACGCGATTCTTTCTTCGGATGGAGTCAGACGTCGTGCCTCAGCAGTCCAACCTGTGAGGACAATTGAACATGGAGAGGGAGAGCGATAAAGACGTATGTGAGTAGCAAATCACGTTGTCGTATTCGAGACCATGATAAAAAGGATCACTCTCATCTTCGGCAATCACTTACGCTTAACAATTTCGATCGTGTGGTTAACTGCACGTAATATATATTTCATCAATGTCTTATAAATTGTGACTCCGAACTTTCACGTTTCTATAATTTGCCGGGAATCCTTGGATTGATCTCAGGCATTGAGTGAAAATTATTCCTTCCATTGTATCGCATTACTGACGTATTGCGACACATTGATAAGAATAATTTTGAACGTTAATAAAATGTTCTCAATATTATCACGACGAAATTGTCACATGCCGGAGAACCCAGACTGCTCCGGGTGACCTCGAAAAATAGAAAGGACTTGAAGAACGTACTTCTTTCTAGTTACCTTATCAGCAAGAGTTCTTGCCGAACAAGAATCTACCCTGATAGTCCACGGACGGAACGAATACAGCATCAGTCCGATCCAATGATAGCACAGATTGAGGAGAATAAGAGGGTCGTCCTCATTCATGGTGTCTCGCAGTTGTGGCGGCCTTTTGACAACCTCATTTAGTCGTCTTTCTGTTCACCAAATTACCGTGGCAACGGTCCAAGAATAATGAAATATACACCTGGAAGTCCAGACATGGACAACAACTTCGTACAGTTATGGCAGGAAGAAAGGACAGAGGGCCACCGGAACTACGTATGTGACCCTTAGTCAATCCTGGGCTCAAAATACACCCGAATCTCGAGAAGCATACTGATGCAACAGATCACTAAATGCAGGTAACGAACTCCGTCGCGCAACGGTCCAAAGTATCAGAGCTCTCCGGTCAAAAAACTAATGATCGACGACCGCAAAAGGGTCGGTCGACAAAGCATTTTCTATCCAAGCGGATTTCTACACTGACAGTATCTGAACTATTTCTACACCAATGCTCAAGGACTCTCGAGAGAATTTCCAGAACTGAATTTGCGTTTTATATCAGGTCAATGCGATATTGTTGCTGTTACAGAGACTTGGCTCGCAGCTGATTTTCCGGTCTCCGAATTGTCTTTATCAGAATTGTCTCCACTCAGAAGCAATCTTCCTATCCGCGGTGTTGGTGTTCAACACTACTATGGGAACAATCTTGATTGCGAGCAAATCCACCCCCCTGCTTCACTACCTGGTACTTTGTGGTATGGGTTGAAATTGTCCAAACACAATGATTGTTACATTGACATGGTCTATCGCCCCCTATAATCCCTGGAGATGGTCAACGAAACGCTTTTGAGAACTGTCACAAATTGTTCCATCCAAATTTCCCCATGTTCACTCAATGGGTGATTTTACCTGCTCCAGTCTCAGTAAATCAGCCACGGTCCGTTCATTTTTCGTACATCAGTTCAAATGGCCGATTTACTCGCATCCATCATACAACCATGCGAAGAAGACCACCAGGTTTGGAAACCTATAGTCACCATACATACTGGATTTAGTGTAGACGAACGAGGAGCTGATGGTAGAATCTGTCAGTGTGACTTCTAACTTACATTCAAATATGTTTGTTACGCTTCTATTCAAGGAAGTTCCCCAGGTAACACGAGCAGATTCACAGACTATACACTGTTGAACAACTTAGTGCTCTCTACTCAGCGAGTTTCCTATGTCGAAAAACCTAATTCGTTGGTCTCCCAGCAGAAATTTATTGACAGTCTTACAAATATAATCACGTCAATGACTAAAACTATAGTAATCACCAAGTCCAGCATCAGAAATTCACCTATTCGAAGTCGCACAAGGAAATGGCTATCTATGAGGGATCTATCCTGGCGAGATTATAAACGTCTTCCGAATGTTGTCACGTGGAATAATTATTGTATGCAGAGGAACCACTGCACCAGACTGATTAGTGAGGATAAACTGAAATACCAAGAGGTGCTAGCACAGAGATTCATTTCTAACCCTAAGCTGATGTACGAACCCCGGTAACTCCATTCGGAATGTAAAGTTTGGTATACCGACACTAAGTAACCCTGGAAGAGTTGCAAACACTTCAGCGGAAGCAGCTGAAATGCTGTAAACTCAGTACTCCAACGCTTTTGTAGCACCGCAGGTTGAAGGTCTACCTCCCCGGTTCCATATCCTTCACTGACGTACGTAGCATTTACTGCTGAAAACGTAAAAGCAAAACTATCGGCTTTGAGAAAAAAATGCAACCCCAGGTGCTGACAATATACACCCGAGATCATTGATCTTTTTGGCGAATGACATATTCAAACCGTTGGCCATTCTGTTCCAACGAAGGCCAGAACCAAGCAACGCTCCCAGAATCGCGGAACACAAGGAGTCATTTCGCCCATATACAAAGGTTGTTGGCGTGGTGGCTCCGCTAAATATCGACTTGTAACTCTGCTTCCGGTCTTACCGAAGGTCATGGAGTCAATTTTAGCAGATTCACTGATGGAACACCTCGAAAAATACTACATTTGCTATACAGGTTCAGACAAAAGCGATCATACTCCACCAACGTGCTTCTGGTTCGAAAAGAATGAACCAGCACAGTCGACGAAAGCGGGTGCGGTAGATGTGATTTATCTCGACTTCTCGAAAGCATTTGATCGGGGGAATCACCAAAGTTTGTTACAGAAGCTCTACAATAGCAGCATTCTAGATTTCTTGTTTGATTTGATTCATCCAATTGCGGACCACATCAGTTCGTGCTTCTATCCACGCCAGCGGCTAAGTTCCCCAACTTTCCGTAATCCCCCCGTCTGTTTCTTGCATTCAAATATGATCTACTCAAAGTGTTAGATCCAAAAACATTACTGTTTGCAGCCGATGCCAAAATCTGGAATACAGTAACAGAACTCGAGGGTTCTCTAATGTTTCAAGAATCACCTAATGCAGCTCATCAATGACCTAAGGAGAACAACATGGAATTCAGTGTTTCTAAATGTCAAGTCCTATCACTACGCCACAAGAGAAGATTCTCGTATTTCCTCGGAAATCAGCAACTACCACATACTTCAAGTGGAAAAAGACTTAGATATTGTTATTCAAGGGCTTCGTCCGCTGCCATGAAAAATGTCGGCTTAATTAGGTGAGTCTTTGTTCGGTTTGAATCAGCACTGGTCCCAAGTTTGCCATCAGTGTACATTCGATCGTAAACAGAGTAACCATTCAAGCTTAGATTTCACGGTTGAAACGTGCTCGCAAGATGCTTGAGCGCCCACAAAGGATGGCCACCAAGATGGTCAATGGGTGTGCATTACCACACATATGAAGAGAGATTACGATCATTGAGACTATATTCTGCTCAGTATCGCCGGATTCGGGGAGACTGGGTTTGGACTTATCAAATACTGCAGAACTCAAATCATCCATGTCGGGTGCAGCTCATGTTAAAGAATAATTTACACCGTAGGGGACACCATTTCACGTTTCTGATTACAAAGTGTCGACTGGAATGCCGGCGCCAATCTTTTGCAGTCAGAGTATGCAGTACTTGGAACACCCTTCCATTTCACATCGTTTTTGCACCAACTATTGAATATTTCAAGCGCAGACTTGATGAAACCTTGATACACCTCACATTCCTACACCACCAAAAGCAAATGCAAATTCATTGAAGCCTACATTCTCCGACATATCCTACCTGGAACTGTATGCGATTTTTTCGCTCTGAAACGATTCAACTGATTCAATATCCTATGGGGACAAGAGAGGCATGAGCTTGTAATAATTCCCTTAATAAAACCTTGATTTGACTTCCACTATATCTTCCCTGATGCTGTCTGCACAAATCCAAAACAAAATCAACGTGATACAAGCATTGAGATCCATGAAATAAAACCAAAAATATTTCGTTAATTAAAAATTTGCCAATGATGCCTAACCAAAAGCCTAATTGAAATGGAAATTTACTCACCTGCGCAATGAATGAATAACACCAGAACGAATGCGAATGCCGAAGTCACTCGTGAAGCGTGCATAATTTTCTGTCCAAAGTCTGATTTGAAGTGTCAATTATTTGTACCAGTATTGAGTTCGGAGTGATGGACTGCAACTGGCTGCAAAACAAGGATCGAATGCATTTTCGTTTCAATATATAATCAGTTTAGAATAACTCCAGCACACAACGTCAGGTATTCAGTCTGGGGTCATATCATCGGAGAGACTGATACACGGAGCGAGTGGATCAACCAGAACCATATCCCGGTGAATAAAATTGAGTAGAATCGTGCGCATAAAAAAGAACAGTGAATAATGTATCGCATGAGATCTACGAGGAAATACAAAGGTCATTAGTGTTAATTTACTTGCAGGTGATTTCCAGGATAGGTTTACTGTTTAGCACACTCACTTTCCGTTGTGTTTTATATGTGAGCAGCGAATTTCCGTGTGACAATCGAATCCCCAACCAGTGCGTGTGTACGTTTCTCCGAATAGCGATTGGCTATGTGAGTTGAAAGTGTGGGTGATAGTTTGAGAACAAACCCCGTTCTACACTAATGTGTACACACAAATCAAAATAGTATAACCGAAATGTTGCCGAATCAAAGTCACAGCTTTATTATGGGAAATACTCGTAGGCGCTTGCTTTTCTAGTCCCAGAGGGTTTGGTCCAAATGAATCAATTCACGGTTCATAGAAAGTATACGAATGTCACAATTTTTCCCTGTTTCATGCACTGCTATGGATGTTGGAATTTACGACTTATCAAAGCTTCATCCAGTTTGTGCATGAATGAATCAATGTGTGATGGTAGAGAATTCTAAGTAGTGCACATTATGAGGGCAAATGAATAACGCCAGCGTTTTGGCTGGCATTTTTGGAGCAGGGGTTTGAATGAGTGCCTCCGCAGATGAGGTGTTGGCGACAAGGCAAAAAATGAACGACATGGGTCCTGAGTCCTGCAATATTTGATACACAAGATCAAATCTTCCCGAGAGCGACTCGAGTTAATCGTTTTTACAATAACCAGCAGAATGTGCACACGGAGAACACAACTATATATTTCAGGCCACCAAAAGAATACTTCGTTATTTTTGTAATCATGGTCTCTTTATATTTAGAATATTAGGACCATTTAGAACCCAACACCGCAATTTGCACTTTAAGGGGTGAAATCCTTCAAGAGTTTTAGGAATTTCCCTTTGAAAATGAGCACCCGTATTGACTCTGTTCTGAACTCTATCCGTAATCAAATAACTATCATAACTGTGTGCTATGTGTGAATTTCTGTAGAAAAACACTTACTGGTGACTTCCGTAAAATATTACCTGAATTGAATCATGGATCCCTTTTAATTGATAATTACAAGAGGATTGGTTTTTTCCAACCTGGATAAAGCACGTTTTGGGATATGATGACTATAAATAACACAGTCATTCAATCATTCGAAGTAGAGTGTGTAGTCAGGGCTTAAGATAAATTCGCTCTCCCTAAAAGTGAGTTTAGGCACAGTAGAAAATGAACAAATGGCTCCGAAACTTCCTCAAATGACGAAACGTTTGTATGCAAAGAGCTATGAGACGTATTACAAATGTGACAATGGAAAGATTTCGGCTCATTTCTTTTGCTTTGAAGCTGTACTTCAACTCCTCCACAGCATATGATGGACTTGTCTACCAGTTTTTCTCCCAAATTGCCCTGCGTCACCAGCCTATTCTGTAACACAGAGAGCTGTTCCGTCGTTGTTCCTCCGTGCAGCTCCGTATCGTCTCCAGCCACCCGGAGAATACAAGAACAAGAACGCAATTCTGGCGCACATTCGTATCGAGTCCGCTGCACTGTTTGCGAGACTCTTAATCTGTTCGCGTTAAAGTACACCCGCCCCTCAGATATATCCCACCTCTAGCTGTTCGTTTCTATCTGTTATGATTCGTCATTCAAATGTTTTTCAAATACGAGGCCATATATTGGAAATTTTACTTACTCAAAATAACACCTACAGGCACATAAAAAAACTTGAGATCTCTGTGTCATACGAATACACAAACTATTTCACAAGTGGCACCACTACTGTGAATAGTGTCGGCCTGACTGTATCTATCCAAAATAATGATGCACGAGCTGAACGTCTAAACCGCAAGACAATGGATGGATGTCTTTGTGGGTCCGGGACAACGATAATGAAATCGTGGTCTGGACGGAGCACAAGTTGTGTATGATGGATCATACGTTCTTAAGTCCAGCGCAGCTGTACTCCGTTGTCAATGATAACGCAATTCAAAACATGCAAGTTCAATATTGTGTGTGTCTATATATGTATGTATTATTCTACTCATGCGGCACCTTGAATTTCATCGGATGTTTGTCTCCTTGAGTGTAGAATTTTGATCATCCTTCACGGTAATGACTAATGTATTATTTGCCACTAGAATCAAAAAAACTCACCAATCGAATTACACACGTAAGTTTCTCCTTCTATTAGTCAAATGCTCCAGAAAAGTAAGTGTTCTTGATTTTGACGATGGCTTGAGGTGCACGCGTTATAGGAAATTAAGAAATTTCCCTCCTTGGATTCTATTGATACAAATGATTCATCCACATGACTCAGCTTTCATGCTTTCAGTTTGCTAACACTCTGTGTGACCTCCTTTCTTTTGAGTTCTGTGATTCAACTTTCTATCATGGAGTCCATTAGCTTGGTATTCAAGTCACATTGATCAGATTCCTCCCGACAATTTCGGACTATTACTCGTAACGATCCATCTTAAGCTAGATTACTTATCTCCGTTTTCAACGTCTGAAGGATGTCATTTATCACATTCCGATTGGTACTGTTGTGCGGTGACTAAATGAATTCAAATTTACAATAGGCCGATTTGGAAACTTTATAACCATACAAATATAATATATAATGACTGTTAAAATATTTTCATTATAAGCCCGCATAACATGAGATGTTGAGCTTTGTCTTGGAAACGTGTGGTGTTTGTGAATGCATTTAGAGATTGGTAATCACCAAAAAGCTTGATCGGTGCAACATATGCAGCACCATCCAGAGTTTTAGAAACTGGAAACAGTGTTTTCTTGTTACAAATTGGAATATAAAAGTCAGAAACATGGGTTTCCACAATGCATCCATGATCATTTTGCTGCATCTATACACATGCATACTGCAGTCAAAACGATTTTTATACAGTCAGTGAGGTAACTTTTGTGATTGTGAAATTCAACCGTGACACTCAGCACAATTCCATTGCATTTGAATACAGTCAAATTGAAAACCAACTCGATTGATGGAGTGGTTGTAAATAGACGTCACTCAGAGCTCGTGTAGCGGAGTGCTATCGAAATAAAAACCCCATTGTGTGTCTGCACTCGGCGTGTATCCCCGACAGCTCAGCACTTTACGAGATCGATTGGACGGCGGACGGTGGAGTAATATGGAAAAACAAGTTTTTGCGAATTTGGATTATCTATTTACTGAAGTATGTTGATTCCCGTTGAGCCTCAAGAAACCGTGTGTCATAAGTGGAGACTGTTTAGTTTAATTTATGTGGCAATCGAAATTACTCTTTATCACGAAAACTCAGCTTTCGAATTCAGTGCACTGCAAATTTCGTCGAATAATGGAGAACTACATTGTTCAACGACAAATCT